TCTTCCTCCCCCCTTCTCCTTTTCTCCCTACTTCCTCTCATCCCCCCATTCATATTCCACCATCTTCTTCTGTTTCTTCCAATTACTTTGTCTATCCACCAAGCCAGTTTATAAAATATTGGGTTGAACGTTAATAACCATGGATTGTCAATGATGTCTTGAATTTGCCAGCCCTAGGTACACCCTGACTCCTAATCCTTGCCTAAGGGCTCTTCATGCACAGCAGAATGTCTGGCTGCCTGAGTATGCCACTCAGAGAAAGAGCACTCCATCTGTGCTTCTGGAGACCTGGATTATAAAGATTCCAGCTCTCTCATTGCTGATATAGGAGAATCTCAGTATCTGTGTCTGTGTCTGTATATGTGTGAGACATCATTTCTGATATATCTTTCAGGTTAAAGCTTTAGTTCCAACCTGTGATTCTGGCTTCAAAGTGCCTTTTCCCTTGACACTTACCTACACTCAGACCAGTGCAATATGACCTCCCTGCAAAACCACATTGGTAGACATTTTTCTTCCAAGTAGCTTCTGGAAGAAACAAAACTCTGACCTTCCTTTACCCCACTCAGTCTCAATTTCCTCACTTCCACAATAGGAACTTTAATACCTACTTTGTAAGTTCCTCCAAACATTAAAGTGAATGCTTATGAAGCATTTAGTCCACATCCAGCAAATATTCGGAAACATGGGTCGTGTCAGGTTTTCATCTCATTTTGCCAACATGGCGCTCTTGAGAACCAGCAGCGGTAGGCACGTTTGGCCTTGGCAGTCTCTCCAGAGCATCCTGGGTACCTAGTCTCCAATGGTGGCATGTGTCCTGGATAGGGGCCTTCGAAGCTTATCAGAGGTCCCTCCACTGCTCCCAGGAAGTGACCTGGGGCCCTGTCTCCTATTCCTCTCAGAGCCTGAATCAGCCTCATAGCCCTGAATGCTGAGTTGGCACCAGTAGTTCAGGAACAGAAGCAGCAGACTTCGTTCTTGACTCCTAGGAATACCCACGTTTTTGTCTCTTTTTCTTCCTCACATTGTCCTCACCCCCACAGAGCAGGCAACATTTTTTCCCCCTCTGTTATTCACAGTTCCTTCACAAAATCTGGAGGGAGTTCCTTTGCCTTTGATGGTTCAGAAGTTATGAATTACTCAAAGTCATACATGACCATTGCATGATCTCTCAGTCCCTTACATCATTCTTCTTTAATTGCTTTGGTAACACTTTGATCATGATGACAAACCACCTTACAGTTGGGGAGATAAACAGGTTTGGCAAAACTACCTGATTCTTTTTTACTCTGCTAATATGCCCTGAGGACCAGGAAGCCAAGCAAGAATGTGATTCTCAAGAACCAAATACAATGTGGTCAGCTCCATGTGTTTCTTGTGGGAACACTGCATGCTCACCTGTGTCTGATGCAGAGGAGTGCTGAGGAGCTAGGAGTCTAAACAACAAAACTCCTACGTTCACAAGAGCTTCAAAGGGCAGGTCCTGCTGCTCCCACATGTGGCTACTGTCAGCTGAATTGTTGGACATTGATATCCACAAGTTATTCCCAGATGTCACTTGCATACACAAGAGAATATTACTTCCTTGGCCAAAGAAGACACTCAAATGAACATCTTGCTACTCTTGAGACTCAGGGTGCTTTCTAACTCATCTGGAGAGTATGAGCATATGTGCGCTTCATCAAGGGCAGGAGACACAGTCTGGGTTGAGTCTGTGCATATCAGCTTAAGACAGGCCACTGGAAGTTTATTCGTATGAAAATGAAGATAATAATTTGTGAGACACTGTATGAGGCTCCAAATGGGTACTGCATTTGGTATGTATCCTGTGTACAAATACCTACATTGCGAACACTGTACAAAGAAATGAACATCATATGGGACGCGAATGGTACAGCCTTTATTGAGAAATAAAGGTGAGACTCCCTGTGTCTCAGGAGACATTTACATGGATCACGAGAAGAAGAAAGAAGGATATAAGAACCATGAGTACACTGAAAAAGGAAACATGATTTGAAGACTTTGAGTAGTTGTAGACACCTATGTGTGAGTCACTAGAATTTCTTTCTCTATGTTATTGAAAGGGAGAGGGTGACAATCTTGACTGTGGAGTCAAGGCAGAGGTCATGACTCCATATCAGTATGCATGAAGCTGGCACATGATCCAAAGATGAAGGAAGATGAGACGCAGCTAGAAATGGTCCACACTTCCTCAAGGTGATTCACAAGCCTGTAATGTTGTTGACTGTGCGCAGGCTTTCAGCAATACTGGCAGTGACTTTGTTTCCCAAATGACAAATTGGTGTTTTATGCAGATGGTGCCTCTTGGCAAAGCAATCAGCAGCAGGAAGGCTGGCAGTAGGTTTGGACACACAGCATATGTGACAGCAGGAGGTCCTATAGAAGGTGGTGTTGCAGCAGATTGGGTGGCAACAAGGCTGGCAGCAGCTGGCTCCATAGCAGCTGGCCCCACTGTGGGTTTGTCCACTGCAGCTGGCCCTGCAACAGTTTGTCTGCAGCCACTGGTCCAACAGAAGGTGGTCCTGTAGCACAAAGGCTGGCAGCAGGAGCTGCAGCCAGAGTAGATCATGGTCTCAGATGGGCAGAGTTGGGTTTCTGAGCAGAGATAAATTTTTAAGCCACTGAAATTATCTTCTCCACTAGGCCTTTCATACACTGGTTCCAAACTTGGAACCAATGATCAGAATTTTCCTGGTATCATTTATAATATATTTTTCTAGATACATGGAGAAATACCCAAGGAGAAAGAGTCCCTTAAAGATTATGAACTTCTGAATGTAAATGGTAGGACTGTTCCCCTAGTTAATTGATAACCCTTAGGAACCTATTTTCAGAAGTGGAAGAGGCAGTAGGCAATAACAGCATCATTTAATTATGAATCACTATTTTTTAAGACGGAATACATCCTCTGGTCACCTGACAATTCAAGCTAATGTGGAGAAGTCAGACCCACTGTCACCACCTACTTTTTTTCCTTTGGCACTAACTATTTAGGGATATACTTCTTTTTTTTTTTTTTAATTTTTTTTTTCAACGTTTATTTATTTTTGGGGGGACAGAGAGAGACAGAGCATGAACGGGTGAGGGGCAGAGAGAGAGGGAGACACAGAATCGGAAACAGGCTCCAGGCTCTGAGCCATCAGCCCAGAGCCTGACGCGGGGCTCGAACTCACGGACCGCGAGATCGTGACCTGGCTGAAGTCGGACGCTTAACCGACTGCGCCACCCAGGCGCCCCAGGGATATACTTCTGATAATAGATGAAACAAAGGTGATGATTTCAAAACATACTTTAACACATTTTTAACTAAAGCCATATTTTCACAAGATGTACATCTGTGTCACAAAATTCAATAATTGATAAATGTATTAGTAGCAAGCAACTTCATTAGGTATCTTGTTTCCTGCATCAGGGGACTGATTTGAGTATAACTGACAGTCTTTTACATGCTGAGCTCCAAATCTGTTGACAGAGCTGATAAAAAAGCTTTCTCTGCAGATAGTATATTTACATTTAATGGTAAAGAGAAAAGTTTCAAAGAAGTTTGACAACTATAATATTTGCTTTGAAGTGCAGTTTAAAAGAACACATGCCAATAAATACTTTTCCAAGAAGACATACAAATGGCCAATGGACACAAGAAAAGATGCTCAACATCACTAATCATCAGAGAAATGGAAATCAAAACCACAATGAGATATCACCTTACACCTATCAGAATGGCTAGAACCAAAAAGAAAATATATAACAAGTGATGGTGAGGATGTGGAGAAAAAGAACCCTCATGCACTACTGGTGGGAATGCAAATTGGTGCAACCCCCATGGAAAACAGTATGGAGGCTCATCAAAAAAATTAAAAATAGAATTACCATATGATCTAGTAATTCCACTACTGAGTATTTACCCAGAGAATATGAAAACACTAACTTCAGAAGATATATGCACCCTTATACTTATCGCACCATTATTTACAACAGCCAAAATATGGAGGCATCCCAAGTGTCCGTCAATAGATGAATGAATAAGGAAGATGTGGTATGTTTAAAACATGGAATATTACTCAGCCAGAAAAAAGAACAAGATCTTGCCATCTTCAACGACATGGATGGATTTAGAGGATATAATGGTAAATGAAGTAAATCAGAGAAAGACAAAAACCATATGATTTCACTGACACATGGAATAAAAGATACAAACAAATGAACAAAGGAAAAAAGAGACAAATGAAAAAACAGACCCTTAAATACAGAGAACAAAGTGGCACTTTCCAGAGGGGAAGTGGATGGGGATGTGGGTGAAATAGATAAAGTGGATTAAGAGTAAATTTACCGTGGGGTGCATGGGTGGCTCAGTTGGGTTGAGCATCCAACTCAACTTCAGCTCAGGTCATGATCCCAGGGTCATGTTGGGCTCTGCGCTGAGGGTGGAGCCTGCTTAAGATTCTCTCTCTCCCATTGCCCCTCTCCCCAGCTTGCACTCTAAAAACAAAAAATAATAAAAATTTTTTAAAAATTAAAAAGAGTACATTTACCGTGATTAGCACTGAATAATGTATAGAATTGTTGAAACATCATATTGTACACTTGAGACTAATATAACAATGTATGTTAATCATACTTCAATAAAAAATTAAAATAAACATAAAATGTATTCATGCAGGAACAAAAGGGACAATTACTCCATCCTGTGTATAAATGGAGCAAAGCAGAGTAAGCGCACAATATTTTGGACACTTCGCAATTTCTACACTTGTAACCTTTTAAAGAAAAGAGCCTTTCCTTTCAGTGGCAACAATGTGGCTCTTGATGCAGCTTCATTTGCTCTGACTTAACCAAGGCTAGTATTTTGGATGCATCTGCAGGTGCCTCTGTTGCTGCATATGTTGCTGAAGCGGATAAAGGTGGATAAATGTGGATGAAGGTGTATAAACCTCCTGTTTGCAGACCCAGCATATGGGTAATGGCCTTACCAATCCACCCTGTCAAATAATCTGCTGTTGTTCAGCAAGTCAGAATGGAGTCCTAGTGGCAAAAGGATGGGGTGGATATTATTTGCTTCTGTGTCTATGTCCTGAGAATGGCTCCAGCATAGAGAGCATCAATACATGATCATTTGAAGAAAGGAGAACTCCAGTAACTTTATTAGCTTGAAAACTTGGACCAAAAATAAGTAATTTGTAATAAGACTGGATAATTGGGGTGTTGGTTTAGAAAAAGTGAGAGAATGACCAATTCAATTTTGAATGAGATAAACTTGAAGCCACATGCCTTAAACCCAGTTGTATTTCTTAGCTTCTTCACTAAGTTACAGGTGTGCTGGGCTGGTTTTACCACCAGCCATGGTGCTACAGTGGAGTGGGGTCTCATTTTCTTTTTCTTTTTCCTTTTTTTTTTTTTTTTTGTGCAATAGCATATCCATGTTTGTGTCTGTTTTAAGTGTTGTCCTGATAGGAGGAAATGTGGTTCTGTGTCTCTTTTGGATATAAGAGGTTAAATGATTGGAAGGCCAAAGAGTGACTCCAAGTATGCTCAGAATATCCAATGATACATATTAAAAGGATAAGACAAACAGATGAGACGATGCTGAAACAGAAAAGAAAGGCAAGTGATGCTTTTAGGGATAAATTACATGAAAACTGTGTAAGCATCTATTCTACTTTTTAAAATTTATTATTATTGTTTTTAAGAGAGTAGGCAGGGAAGAGGGGCAGAGGAAGAGAGAGAATCTTAAGCAGGCTCCACTCTCAGTGTGGAGCCCAATGCAGGGCTTGATCCCACAACCCTGGGATCATGACCTGAGCTGAAATCAAGAGTCAGTCGTTCAACTGACTGAGCCACCTAAGCTCCCCATAAGCATCCATTTTAAATGCAAAGTGACCTCTGCATGAGAGTCATGCCACAATCACAATGTCTGATAAGTTCTTTTTAAACATGGTAAACAAGGGGTACCTGGGTGGCTCAGTCAGGTAAGCATCTGACTCCAGCTCAGGTCATGATCTCATGGTGCATGGGTTCGAGCCCAGCATCAGGCTCTCAGCTGACCACAGCTCAAAGCCTTAAACCTGTTTCAGATTCTCTCTCTCTCTCTCTCTCTCTCTCTCTCTCTCTCTCTCTCTCTTCTCTCTCTTCTCTCTCTCTCTCTCCCTCCCTCCCTCTCTCTCTCTCTCTCCCTGCTCCTCCCATGCTTGTGCTCTCTCTCTCTCTCAAAAATAAATAAACATAAAAAATAAACATGATAAACAATAGCAAGAAAATAACCCTGGATGTGATGATGACAGCTCTTCAGTAGAGTTTGGGAGAAGATTTCCCCTTGAGAATCTCATTGTCCTGGAGACCCACACAGAACATCCACCGTTTCATACCAGGGTCAGCTCCTGTTGTAGCTCTGTCTGCTCTGACAAGGGCTTTGGCCATGGCCTCTACCAGGAGACCTGCTGCTGACCCAGCTGCTATGTGTCCAGCTGCTGCCACCTTTCCTGCTATGACTCTAGCTGCTTCCACTCAGCAGGCTGTCAGACTCCCTGGGGCCCCCTGGGGCCATATGACCTGCTGTTGCCCTGTTTGCTGTGGATCCTCTTATTGTTGACTTTGCTCCTCACCACCAGCCCCGAGTTGAGCACCATCATGCCAATGTACTCGTCTTATTCTCATTTCTTTTGTCCACAGCATCTGGCCATGTTCTGATCTGTCACTGCATTTATTTATCTTATTGGTCATGCCACCAAGCAACTAAATACCATGCAAACCCTCCAAGTTCTATGCCTATTACCTTGACATTCAGTCAAATATCTACCTTACTTCATGGGGACAGGTTCCTAATCTTATGATTGTTGTGCATGCTTGGCCTTTGCAACGAATTATGTGAGATAGAATAATTATGTCTCAATAAATGCTTACTCTGTGTCAGAAACATTTGTGGTCCTTAATTATTTTTTAATGTTGATTATGAACTGAAGATAAGTTTGGGTTTCTGCCCTACAAAGAAAACTGATTTTGCACATATCAATCAAATCCTACATTAGAGAAAATGCAAATAATTAAATTTTCCCCAAACCGGACTGTCCACCTCTCTCCCATCAAGTTTATCAAGAGAAAACAAGAATGTCCTTTTTACTATAATTGAATTTTAGGCCACCTAGCAAGGTCCTTGTGCTATTGGGTTCTGGGAAGTACACATGTGGGATGAGACCCAGTTCTCACCCCTCATGGAACTCACAATGGAATCTTGAATTTAATAGGAAGATACGTCGGGGCGCCTGGGTGGCACAGTCGGTTAAGCGTCCGACTTCAGCCAGGTCACGATCTCGCGGTCCGGGAGTTCGAGCCCCGCGTCGGGCTCTGGGCTGATGGCTCGGAGCCTGGAGCCTGTTTCCGATTCTGTGTCTCCCTCTCTCTCTGCCCCTCCCCCATTCATGCTCTGTCTCTCTCTGTCCCAAAAATAAATAAACGCTGAAAAAAAAATTAAAAAAATAAAATAAAATAAAATAAAAAAATAGGAAGATACGTGCCAGTAGAGTGTGTTGGTAATACTGGAGAAGAACAATAAATAAGGATTGATTCCTAGAAATAAAATGTGTCAAGTTTGAAAACTCAGGAGAAGGCATACAGCTCACAAACACATAAGACAAGACAAAGTGAAGGAGAGAACTGGGTAAGGGCAGAGTGTTTGTATTCTTATGAAGGCAATCTTTAAAAGTATCAGGAAAACAGTATAACCAGTTAAGGAGTAGAAGTATATCAATATTAATTCATGGATTGGGACAATGAGAAGACAAGAGCCAGAGATTCCTGGGTGAAACAACAAATGCCATAGGAAATAAGTTAGTATGGTGGGTGAAATGTATTTATGGGAAAGAGAGTAAGGAAAGTTAGGTTGGAGATTCTGGTTGAGTTTTATTTTTGAGGAGCAGCATCTCAGCTGAGTACAAAGAGGACACTGTGGAAGGAGATAACCAAACTCAGGAACTCACTCATCTGGAAACCTACCCAGAACCTCCACCATCTGACACCACGGTCAGCTCCTATTCTGGTTCCATCTGCTCTGACCGGGGCTGTGGCACAGCCTCTGCCAGGGGACCTCTTGGTGCCCCAGCTACTGCCACCCTAAATGTGATATGTCCAGTCGCTACCACCCTGGCTGCTGGATACCCAGATGCCACCAGATCACTTGTTTCCATACCACCTGCTGCTGCCCTTGCTGCTATGGATCCTCTTGTTGCTGAATGCCCTATCCCACACTTGCACCTTCCCCATCAGCATCATTACAGAATCAAAAGCTTCTTTTATGCAAGGCACCAGGACACAGAGTCTTGGGTGATGTTACTCAAATTAGTTGCGATGTCTGTGTGTCTAGTTTCTGATTTCTCTTCCACATTTTCCCTAAGACCATCACTCTGCATGAGGCACTCTGTAAGTGACTACCAGGCATTCAACACTATCTCCCATCACTCAGTAAGAAAGACGTTATTGGCCAAGGTTATATGACTCTGAGTAGATCATCTTAATTCTCAGTTTTTATTGATGACATTTTCTTAGATTTTTCTCTTCTATTGATTATCCCATTTTTTTAATTCTATATTCACTTTTCTCATCACAGAAATAAAACGGACTTACTTCTCCTGTGTTTATAACTAGCTCCTGAATAACTGATTTTGTATACAGATACAGACAAGAATTTAGACCTGGATCACTACGTAACAGAATTTATAAACTTATTTTAACAACAAAAAAGCATCAGATAACACAAAGAAAACTCATCTCTTTGAGTCTTTAATGAACCAGCAATGCTTCATTTTTTTCTACTCACCCTAGCTTCAAGAGAATGGCCATTGGGTGAAGAAAATTTTTGGCAAGAGTTATTCGCCATTCATACACCATATGCAGATTTCATTCATGCTTCAGTTTCTTACCCTTACATGATTCAAGCTAAAGAGAAAAATCTATGTCTCCTGCCCCAACAGTGTTGCTCTGTGACATTCCAACATCCCCCAAAGTATACATCACGTCCTAAGGTTATTTTAATGTTGTTTTAAATTTTTTAAAAATGTTTATTTATTTTTGAGAGAGAGAGAGAGAGAGAGAGAGAGAGAGAGAGAGAGAGGGGAAGGGGCAGAGAGAAAGGGAGACAGAGAATCTGAAGCAGGTTCCAGGCCCCGAGCTGTCAGCACAAAGCCCGACATGGGGCTTGAACCCATGGACCACAAGATCATGACCTGAGCCAAAGTCAGCTCCCCACATCCTAAGGTTATTTTAAAATACAGGAATGCTAGAGTACCTCTAACTCTAGCTCTCCAAAATCACTTCCCACTCCATGAACACACCATGCTCTCCCATGTCTCTGCGCCTTTGTACATGTCAGCATTTCTGTCTCAAATTCACTCTCCATCTGTCCCCTTTTGCACTTTGAGGTCTAAATCTAACGTCCCTTTTCTGCATCACTTTTAGACAGTTATTTCTCCTATCCTGAGACAGTCTACAGGAGCACTTGGTTCTCCATAAAGAATTTTTCTTTGGACTAGAACTGTCTCTTTATTCATCTCTTTCTCTGTCCACACTGAGTTTCTCAAAGGTGGAGACTATATGATTTATTTAGCAAACGTGTATATGGAACTAGCTCTTGGCCATGCTGCAAGCTAGGCATGGGGGCTAAAAGATACCTCCAGGGGTGCCTGGCGCAGTCAGTTAAGTGTCTGACTTCGGCTCAGGTCATGATCTCACAGTTCTCGGGTTTGAGCCCCACATCAGGCTCTGTGCTGAATGCTTGCTCAGAACCTGGAGGCTGCTTCAGATTCTGTGTCTCTTCTCTCTGCCCCCCACCCCCACCCCGCGCTCATGCTCTGTCTCATTCTGTCTCTCAAAAATAAGTAAGTGTAAATTAAAAAAAAATTTTTTTTTAAGATACCTCCAGTATATTAGAAGAGGGAAAGGCAGTTTGAGTGGAGAGTATCAAGCAGAGTTTGTTGGATGAGGTAATGACACTTGAGTCTTAAAGAACAAGTAGTACGGACATTCATGCCTAGTGCCTGGAACAGAATAGGGAAGCTTTCAACTGCTGTTTGCTACATACATCAGTGAGTGACAATCTACAGCTCTACAAGACTCTAGTTTTATGATTCTACCAAACCCAACAAAGACCTTTCCAGAAGAACATTTTTTTTAGTTTTATTTATTTGTTTTGAGAGAGAGAGAGAGAGCAAGCAAGGGAGGGGCAGAGAGAGAGAGAGAGAGAGAGAGAGAGAGAGAGAGAGAGAATTCCAAGCAGACTCGTCACCGGCAGAGTACAGCCCAATGCAGGGCTTGAACACACAAACTGTGAGACTGTGACCTGAGCCAAAACCAAGAGTTGGATGCTTAACCAGCTGAGCCACCCAGGCACCCCAAGGAGAACATTTCTAACCAACATGTAGCTTGTCTGCAAACACGGGCCTGCTCTTGTGATTTGAACTGTGAGTCACTTGGGGCTTTGTAGGCCCCAACACAATCCCTACATGATCCTGTGCACATCCTAAACATTAAAGACTATGGGACCAGTGATTCGCTTTCACTCTCAGGAAAGTAATTCTATTCTAAGGACATTATACATTCCTGGGAGTGTCATGTATTGGGGCAATTATCCATTATGTGGCTGACACATTACCAGAACCATGAGAAAAGGATTAGAACAATGTCCTAAATGTCTCCTACACCCTTTAAATCTCTTGCTATGACATTCACACAATAAAATATCACTAATTTGGACACATTCCATCAGTGACATGTGCAGGCTAATTTTTCCTGGCCTGCGCCCACCTGAAACTTGGCATCTTCTGTAAAATGATTGTTTGTAAGGCAAACTGAGACAGTGAATTTAATTACAGAAGATATATTTAACACAGTGTGGACTTACTTAATGCTAACTGCAAGTGAATCATATCATTCTGTACCTATGCCTTGATCCTATCACTTAGAAGCATTCTTTAGCTATGATTCTTAATTACACTTTAAATGTATTGGAAAGAAGCTAAAAGGTAGTATTTTTTTAAGTTTGTTTGTTTGTTTATTTATTTATTTATTTATTTATTTATTTATTTATTTATTTATTTTGAGAGAGAGATAGAGTGTGAGTGGAGGAGGGACAGAGAGAGAGAGACAGAGAATCCCAAGCAGGCTCCACGCTGTCAGTGCAGAGCCCAGTGCAGGGCTCGATCTTACGAACCATGAGATCATGACCTGAGCTGAAATCAAGAATCAGACACTTAACCAACTAAATCCCTAAAGATGCCACCTAAAAGTGCCCCTAAAGGCAATATTTTAAAACGTTCTAGCCAGCTAAATTAGGCCAGTCTGCTCTCTTATTTTTCAATTAGTGAAATTTCATTATATTGTTTCTATGCAGATATTTTATAACTTAGTATCATAATACAACTTAAAAGATCTTTAAAGTTATTTTAATGTTTTCTCAAGCTCCAAAACCTTTTATTGAGAATATACTATGAGCCAAGGACTTTGCTAGATGTGGAGGATTCAAACAAGAACAACATGGTTGCAGCTCTGTAGCCAAGATGAATTGAACTCTATGGGAATATCAAAGAAATAACACCAAATAACTGTTTGAAGGAGTAAGAGAAGCTATCAGAGAGTGGCATTTGAGCTATGTTCTTGTGAGGTAGAAAATAAGGAATAGGTTTTCTAGGGCCTTGGACAGAATTGCAAAGGGTTGAATCTGAAAAGTGTGGACTAGAGCTTAGGGCAATGAGGAAGATGAGAGAGTGGCTGTAGATAGGGTTGGAAAGTAGGTGTGTGAAGGGTGTTGAGAAGTTTGGAATACATCCTAAGGGCACCAGAGAGTCAATAGCCTGTTATCATGAGGCCTTGCCCCATGCCTGGTAGGGTCACACAAAATCTGGAAGTGGTTATAACAAGAATCCATAGTTCATGAGATGTGTTTCTTGGCTAAGCCAAATCTCCTGTTTGTTTTAAAAAACTTGATTTTATTTGAAAACACTGAAAAGAAGGCAAAAGTATTTCTAATAACCCAACATGAAGAAAATTTATAAAGTATAAAGTAAAAGTCTCCCTAATGACTTTCTTCCCATCCCTAGATTGATAGATATCATTCCTGACCTTTTCCTGTGTTTATATAAATATTTCTGTTTAAATATGTATACACACACACCATGACCCTGCCCAATGGAATCATGTGCTATATTTATTCATTCATTCAGCAAATACTTACTGAATGCTTACTATATATCAGAGCAATATTCAAGCTACTGAGAATGTAATACCAAGAGTTGATATTCTAGAGGGCAACACATGACAATAAGCACATGATTGTGCTTTCAAATGAAGGTAAGTTCTAGGAAGACAAGTGAAACACAAAGAGTACAATATGATGAGAGGGACTGAGAAATCCTTGCAATTGTGAGGTCAGAGGTGGATTCTCTTGTGAAGGGGATGATTTGAGCTGAGACCTGGATGATATTGAGAAGTATACGTGCTGAGGGCAGACTGCCCCCAAAGGGGCCACTTTGGCATGAACCTTGAGTTAAAACCAATCAAAACCCAGCAGATTCAGGAAACACTCTTTACCTCCCCTCAACTGCCTGCTTTTATCAGGAAGAGAATTATTAATGAAGATAGCTAAGAAGCTTATCAACATAATAGGGCAACTTTGCTTTGTAAACATCTCTCACCTTCCGGATAATGGTCTTTTCCCCATTTGTATCCTCAGATTCCCACCCTTCTCCTTAGCTCATAGAAGCATCATGCTGCCTCATGATCTTTGGAATTTCAGTGTCCCCAGATGTATGCTGTTAAAATTGATTTTCTCCTGTTAATCTGTTTCATGTCAACTTGTTTCTTTTCAAACAATTTTTTTTTTAATTTTTATTTTGAGAGAGACAGAGACAACACAAGTGGGGGAGGGGCAGAGAGAGAGGGATACTGAATCTCAAGTAGGCTCTGCACTGCCAGTGCAGAGCCCAACATAGGGCTCGAACACATGAAAGTGTAAGATCATGACCTGAGCTGAAACCAAGAGTGAGAAGCTTAACCGAATGAGCCACCCAGGTGCCTCTGTCAACTTGTTTCTTAGTCCAGCTAGAAGGACCTTTAGGGGAAAAGGAAATTCTTCCTCCCTGACAGCATTATCCTGATCTGGTATCTTCCAACCCCCAGTCCTAGAGGGTCACATTAGAGAGCTCTAAATAGTGGTGTAATTGCATGACAAGGTTTTCTTTTTCTTTTTTTCTTTTCTTTCTTCCTTTCTTTCTTTCTTTCTTTCTTTCTTTCTTTCTTTCTTTCTTTCTTTTTTCTTTCTTTCTTCTTTTCTTTCTTCTTTTCTTCCTTCCTTCTTTTCTTTTTTTTCTTTTCTTTTCTTTACAAAAGAAAAGTCATCAAAGTAGAAGATAAAAGTGTTAAGGAGAAAATTAACAGTTTCCGTAAGTCCACCAACCAGAAATACTGTTAATATCATTTTTAATTTCTGTAGTTAAATGTTAATAAAATTAATATTTGTAATAATTTCAATATTTCTCTATGTTTTTACATAATTGGGGCTATACTGTATATTCTATTTTGTATATAAATATAAATTTTTTTGCATATATTAGGTTCTGTTATCAATTCTAGTGGTGGTGATTCCTGAAGGGCTATATGTCCATTCCAGATACATATTTGTTCTTTAAAAACAGCAAGTCCAGGAAATGGGATTAGAACACAGTCTGAGTATCTTGAGAATTCTGCATGTGCCCACAACTGTTTTTGCTAACTGACCACACTGATGGATTTAACTTTGACTTCTCAGGTTAAGATTCCATTCTTCTGAGATTCTCTTATATCTGGATTTAACCTATGACTAAATCTTTTTTCCATAAGAAATGCTGCAAAACTTGCAGGCATGATAAGACCCACAGATGAGGAAGAGTGAAACCTGGACTACTCCATGTCAAGGTTCACCATGACAACTGCTCTCTGGAAGAAGCTTCTCTATCTGTAAACATAGATGGTGCCTACAAGGACAGAATTACCAGGGATGATTCAGGAGGAAAGAGCAGATGGAGAGAGAGTCAACATATTCAGCTTAGAATCTGAGCCAAGATGATTCATACAAAGGAAGACAGCCAAGATGTGACAGGGGAGGAGATAATGGGATAAATCCTAATCAGGCAAAGGAAACAATGTTTTCCATCCAACTTGGAAAATGTAATTATCTAATCAAACGATTGCTTACTTGTTAGGGTAAACAGTAACATGGAAAGAGGTCCCTCAGCAGGGTGTAAAAGGGGGCATGGAGCAAGAAGTCTTCTAGATTCAAGGAATACACTCTTCTGGAAACCCAACCAGAGCCTCTGCCCTCTGACACCATGGTCAACTCCTGTTGTGGCTCCAGCTGCTCTGACCAGAGCTGTGGCCACGGCCTCTGCCAGGAGACTTGTTGCTGCCCCAGCTGCTGTCAGGCCACACACTGCAGGACCACCTACTGTTGCCTCAGCTGCTGTGTGTCCAGCTGTTGCCACCCCTCTTGCTGCCAGACCACCTGCACCTGCTGCCGCCCCAGCTGCTATGGCAGTTCTTGCTGCTGAACATCCTGCTCTGGACTGGAACCTCCTTGCCCCCATCCTTCAGTCCAGGAAGAAAGCATCTAATTTAACAAAACACATGGCACTTCCTGATGTCATGAACTTACAAACAGACCTGTGGACTGATCTGGAAACCTCTGGTCTCTATGTCACTTATTCTCTTATGTAGAAATACCTTATGCCAAATGAATCAGAATTTATGGTCAGATTATGCAGCTGATTTTTCAGAATTTCTAATTCTGATTCTAAATATAAAAGTCTTTAAATGTTCCTCTTCTAGGTTTTTTTTCTTTCCGATGTTTCTCAATGGAATCTATGTTCATGTGGAATTTCTTGAGGCTCCCAAATAAAACTTTTTAGTATTGGAAGGCACTGATATTGCTCATCTCTCATTATTTCTTATTAATGAAATGTTCAATGCATATTGCTCTTTTTCATGTGACATAGGAGCACATATTCTCAGGGGACCCTACAACAGAAAAATTAAACTGGTACTCACCAATGAGATTTTTATCCAGGTCACAATTAAGTGTTAGCTCTGCTAACAAGAAAAGGTTTAAAGGGAGGCATCTTTGAACCTAATACATATAACATGAGAGCTATGGATTACAACTGCCAACAAAAAAGAGTCCTTAGAAAACTATAATCCATGAATTGAATTTAAACCAATTTAAACAGAGGAGCTCAGTGTAGATAGCCCACGGACTTGGGAATTAGACTTAGGTCTGAATTTTGACTGTACCACATACTAACTGTGGCCTTGGACATGTTACTTAAACTCTCAACTTAGGACTGCTTTTCTCCAAAGAAAGGATGACGATACACACCTATAAAATTGTCACACACCATTAATCATCAGGGAAATGCAAATCAAAATCACAATGAGATATCACCTGATACCTATTAGGATGGCTATTATTAAAAAAAAAAAAAAGACAAGTGTTGATAGGGATGTTGAGAAAAGGGAATTCTGGTACACTGTAGGTGAAAATGTTAAGTTGGTACAGCTATAATGGAAAACAATATGGAGGTTCCTCAAAAATTAAAAAACAGGGGCTCCTAGGTGGCTCAGTTGGTTAGGCATCTGACTTCATCTCAGGTCATGATCTTGTGGTTTGTGAGTTCGAGCCCCTCATTGGTCTCTGTGCTGACAGCTAAGAGTCTAGAGCCTGCTTCAGATTCTGTGTCTCCCTCTCTCTTTGCCCCTCCTCTGCTCTCTCTCTCTCTCAAACATAAATAAACATTAAAAAATTAAAAAATTAAAAAAACAGAACTACCATACAATCCAGCAATCCCATTTCTGAGTATGTATCCAAAGTAATTGAAATCAGAACCTCAGAGGAATACCTGTACTCCAATGTTTATGGCAATAATATTCACAAAAGCCAAGATATGGAAACAACCTAAGCATTCATCTATAGATGAACAGATAAAAAAATAGTGTATATATAGAATGGAGTATTATTCAGCTTTAAAAGGAGGAAATCCTGCCATTTGCAACATGGGTGGACTTGGAGGACATTATGCTAAATGAAATAAGTCAAATACAGAAAGACAAATACTGCATGATCTTACATGCATAAAATAATCAAACTCAATAATCAAATAGAAGCAGGGAGCAGAATGGTGATGCCAGGGGCTGAGGAAAGGAATAAATGGGAAGATGCTGGTCAGAGTACAAAGTTTCAGTTATGCAAGATAAGTAACTTCTGGATATCTACTATATAGCATAGTGCTGACAGCTGACAATACTGTTTTATATACTTAAAATTTTCTAAGAAGGTATATCTTAAGTGTTCTTACACTTGTTTTAAAATTTTTTAAAACATTTTTTAAAACTTTATGTGTCTGACTTCAAGGCAGCAAACTAGAATTTTCAAATTTTATCTCATACCTACAAGAATCTCTTCATTTCTCAAATATATATTTTATTGATTGAAGGAAAAAAGACAGTTGTGACAAAGATTTAATGAGATAAAGGTACATGGTAGACAAATAAAAGTATGCTCCCTTTTACCTCCGCTGAGCTTTATTTTACATTTTATTTTGAAATAACTATAGGTTCACAAGAAGTTGAAAAACAATACAGCAAAATTCTGGGTACTCTCTATCCAATTTTCCCCAATGGTCACTTCTTATAGAATTATAGTACACACCAAAACTCAGAAACTAACATTAGCACAATCTACAGAACTTGTTCAGATTTTGCCAGTTTTAGGTGCACTTGTATGTGTGAGCCTGGGTTTTTAGATTGGTTGTGTCAACTTGGAAATTAGGGCCAGGGCATAATGGCCATGAAAAAAAAAAAAAAAAAGAAGCACCGTAAAGAATTTGATTGATTAGACTTATAGGTCCCTTATGGTAGAAAGGAATCCTCAAAGTCATTTCACCCAATCTCCTCCATCTGGTTCACGAGTCTTCCTCTGCAACACCAGCTTACACTTAAGTCCCCCTGCTATGTATGGAGGAAGCCATTCCATAAAACTTTATGGTGAGTATAATTTTTTTTTTTTCTCTATGAGCCACCCACTTATCCTGTGTCAGCCCATGACATCCATTTGGGGCAAGTCCAATCTCTCACATACAGCTCCTCCATGCTGCACAGCCATGCCTTTGCTCCAGTTTTCTTTTCTTTAGGCTAATTTTCCCAAGTTTTTTCACCTGCTCTTCATTGATCACGATGTCACCATCTTAGCAATTTTGCTTTTAATATACCACAATTTATCTCTATTATTCTAAATGTAGGCAAGAACTGAACACATTTTCAGATGTGTTCTGAATGCTCAGAAAGGAGTAGAACTGTGTCTTCTTCCTTTTAAAATACCACACTTGCGTTAATGTATTAATGTCTGCATTCAGCATTTAATGGCACTAAATGTGGACTTGTACTGAGGTTACAATATCATGTAAACACCTATGTCTTTTTCATTACAAACTGCTTCAATCTATGCTTATAGATGTCCAGTGGTTATCTGAAGAGCAGCAATTCTGAATCTCTTTTGCTACCCAATACCACTAGTAACATGGCTCATTCTGGTAATATTATACCCAAGGAAGAGCTGCTAAGGGTACATACAACCTTAGGATATGTAGGCAGTTCAAATAAATTCTCCCAAGAAGTTTAGATATATTTACTCCTCCTCGATCCCATGTGCCATGTTGCATTGGTAACTACTCTTTTAGATCTAAGAAAGGCTCTGAGATTTCCTTGTGCTAGATTTTGCCTCTTATGCTAGGACATCAAAGTCACTTGGAATCATGATTCTGGCATTCAATATATTCAATCTTTCCCAACTTCATGATTTGATAAACATATTTTATGGAAAGACTCAACAAAGTTGAGATGTCCATGGTTCTGTTTTCAGAAAGACCAGTCCAAGAATGGAATGACTACTCAAAAACCATCCTAAAGTTGAAAATGACATATATTTGGAAGAACGTAATTCAAAGACAAGGTTTTCCAGTGTTCTCCTCATTCTCTGGGTTCCCTTGTTCTCCACGGGTAAAATGTATTTGAAGAGCCAGCTGATGAACTGGCAGTGCCCCTATTTTTTTGAAACACTAGTCTGCTAGTCATTTGGTTGGGAATTTTGTAACCTTTAAGCTTTACTCCATCCCACTATGAATAAATAGGTTGGTGTTGTCTAACCTGGATATTCATTTTATGTCTCCTTTCTTGGAAATAAAGACCTAGAAAGTGAAATCTGATCAACAATTTAAGTAATGAAGCAGAAAAATATAGGGTATCTTCAGAGCCCAGCAATTTAAAGAGACAGCAAGGGGCGCCTGGGTGGCGCAGTCGGTTAAGCATCCGACTTCAGCCAGGTCACGATCTCGCGGTCCGCGAGTTCGAGCCCCGCGTCAGGCTCTGGGCTGATGGCTCAGAGCCTGGAGCCTGTTTCCGATTCTGTGTCTCCCTCTCTCTCTGCCCCTCCCCCATTCATGCTCTGTCTCTCTCTGTCCCAAAAATAAATAAACATCGAAAAAAAAAATTTAAAGAGACAGCAAGATGGTAAGATATGAATTACAGTAAAAGGCAAGGACACTGGGCAATCTAACTTGTATTGACAAGTAAATCTTGGAAACAGAGATAAGTCAACATGCCCTGACAAAGACAGAAAAACAAGAAGTCAAAGTCAGAAGAAAAGTCAGCCCAACAAAGCAGAAGTTAAGGTACTTGAACCTTATGATACAGGTAGATAGAGGGCTTCTATCTCTGCAGCTGACTTCCCCTAAGAAGCCCTAAAGCTGAGTTCTGGAGGTTTGTTTGTGGAGAAAAATGAAATACCACCTCACATCTGTAACACCCCACCAAAGATAGCTAAGTATTGGTGAGGATGTGGAGAAATTAGAACCCTCTTACGCTGTTGGGATGTAAAATGGCGTAGCCACTATGGGAAACAGTATAGAGGTTCCTAAAAAATGAAAAATAGAACTATTGTATAAATCAGCAACCCTACTTTTGGGTATATATCTGAAAGAAGTGAAATCAGGATCTGGAGGAGGTATTTGCACTCCCATGTTTATTACAGCATTATTCACAATAGTGAAGATATAGAAATAACCCATATGTCCACTGACAGACAAATGGATTTAAAAAATATGAAATAGCCACATAATGGAATATCATCACCCTTATAAAAATAAGGAAATCCCATTATTTGCAGCAATATGGATGGACCTAGAAGACATTAGGCTAAGTGAAGTAAGTCACAGAAGGACAAGTAAATACTGCATGATTACACATAAAATCATCAAAACCATAGGAGCAGAGAGTACAATGGTGGTTTCCAGGGAGGAAGAGGAAATGGGTAGTTGTTTAATGAATATAAAATTATACTTATACAGGATGAGTAAGCTTTAGAGATTTACAGAACAACAATGTACTTATAGCTCACAATACAACAGGGTGCACTGACAAACTTGTTAAGAGAGTAGATCTCATGCTAAGTGTTCTTACCACACATAACATGCAGAGCAAGAGGACAAATAAATCTTTGGGCGATGACAGATAATATTTATTACCTCAATTGTGGTGTTGGTATTATGGGTCTAGGCATATATCCAAACTCAACAAAATGGAAACATTGACCATGTGGAATTTTTTGTATTTTAAGTATGCCTTGATAGACCTGAGGGAAAACAAGATATATCAAAATTTGTGACCTAGTTTTACTTCTTAGAAAAGTTATTTCTTTCCAAGCAGGAAGTCTAGATAATGGGGCATGATCACAATGGGGAGGAGGTGTGTCCTAAGATTCTTATCCTCATGACAGTGATCCCCTAATCCACACTCAAAAGTTCCCACCATAAATGACCCACTATGAATGGGCCATCAGACAGAAATGCACCCTGATATTCCCAGGTTACCAAAACAA